GCTTAAATGTAACAAATTGGGATATCACAACCACTTTTAAAGCAAACTATATTCTTAAAAGTTTTAGGGTTCAAATTATACATTTAAAGGCATCTAACGTAATACATCAACTAAAAATCATAATCTTGAGACAAATGTGTTACAATTGCAAAAATTGCTAAGAAAACGGGTTAGTGCTGAGAAAAGACCTACCATCATTTATTTTTATAGTTTATTTATAATTTGTTTTGTCATGACTCATTAGTTATCTAATACAATGCATTTCATACTGTACATTTTGGCAAGCGTGACCCACATTTTCAGATACTTTTAAGGACCATTATAGTGTCTATTTGTGCAAGATAAATTAAGTAGAATTCATTGTGTTAGTGTTGTAGGAGATGCGAGGTCAAAGGATCAACGTAGAGCAGCTTCTCAGGAAGTCACAGATTGAACTGCTGGGGATACAGCGACAGCTGTCAATCATAGCAGCAGGAGATGCCAATCATCCACGGGCCCAAAAAAAGGTGAGTAATCCTGTTACATTTACACTTCTGATCCCTAAACATTCTGATACCTATTGGTTTCTCATACACACAATACTTCTAGTAGCAATGATGATTCTTGTACACAAGGTGGCGCCATCCTGCTACATTTACATTCTTGCAGCCTAACACCCTCAACTGCCAATCAGAGTACAATGAACCAACACATTTGGCCACACCAGCCAATGGAGGGTGTGCTTGTGTCATGTGAGGAAATGACAGGTGATGTACATAGACAGAGGGTGTGGTTGCAGTGCAGTGTCCTATCAGGATCATCTTGAAAGTGTAGGCCTGGTCCACTCCCTTGAGAATAGACATGCCTTCTTAAACTGATGCATTTGTAGAGGACTGCCCCATTGCAGGGAGGAGGGGGCAGAGGGCAGGCAGCACTACAGGAGCAGCTGGGGTTGCTTGGCAACAGAGCAGGGGAGACTGTAACACATTCCAGATTGGGATTCAGATTCTGTTTCCTTTTTTTTTTTTTTTTTTTTGCCTCCAATAAGAACTGTTTCCTCAGCACAAAGAGTGGCTAATGGCCAGGATGTGCCTAGCACACTGTCTAAGTAATCCCTCTTAATGCCCCTGTGTGCATTAAAATCTGATGTAACTGTGTGATATTCCGAGACATTGAACTTAATTTCCCCTTGTTTGGTGTTGCTGTGGGATGAATGGAGCGGAACGCCCCTGTTTTTTCCCCCTCTGTTCCTTGAGATAAAGCAAACAAATCACAGTAGGGCAAGATAGCAATACCAACATTTCTAGGTGGCATATGGAGAACAAGATGGATTGCATAAAGATGGATATAATGAAATGCCAGGCAATTTGCAGAATAACCCATATATGTACTGTATGTCTACCACTTACAGCCTTATTTTAAAATGTGAAAAATTAAATATGGCATCCATTTTAAGGTGTGTGAAGAAAACCAAGAGGAATGACTTGCAACAATTTGTTTGATTCAGTTTTTCTTATATACTTAAAGCCTCTATAAATTAAAAATGTAAACCTGTAAATACTTGTTAGTTCAAATGGCAGGAATGGCTAATGGAAACGGCACAGATGGGAAAATGTATCAACTTTTAGTAACAACATAAGTACAGTTGACCAGGGGTTTTCAAACTGGGGTGTACTGCAAACGATGCTAGGGTGTCAGTGGAATTGTTCTGAGAAAAATTGTTTAAAATATAAAAAAATTAAAGCAATAATAAAAAAAGGACATACATAACAATAATAATAATTAATAAAAAGGTAATAGTAAAAAGTATTCATTTATAAAAAAAATGCTAAATAGATAATATGATAAAAAAATTAAAAACAGATAGTTTAAGGTTTTATATAAATAAATAAAATTTCTTGGTAATATTTTACACATCTTATAGAGCTGCCTTTATATTTAAGGAAGGGTCCTTTGCAAGGGGATCATTATATTTGGGCCATGAAAATGTTGAAAAACCCAGATTATGTCACTAAAATAATTAAATAGCATTACTGCAAATGATTAGAAACATTTAATTGGCTTTTGTAACATTAGAAAGGCCATGCGTGAAAAGGCAAATGATTTACACATCAGTGATGGGAGTGGCTCTACACTACTCTACACACTCTACTCTCACTGCTTTCCATATGTGAGTGTGCAAGTGTAGGATAGAGAGAGAAAGCCTGTGTGAGTACTGTATGAGAGCAGGAGAGCGTATATCATGGAGCATGCGCAATTCTCTATGACCGCATGTGTGTGTGAGAGAGACGGAGAGAGAGAGAGAGAGAGAAAGAGAGCAAGATAGGGAACGCACCGTTCTGTTGCACCACTCCTAGAGTGCCTGGAGATGCTCTCACACTGTCTGTCTCCTGTTCCAGCTCAGGGCTTCTGCAGGGACACACATGCACGCATGAGCACAGAGCCACACACAAACACACACCACAGACGTGTCGTCACTGCCACTCCTGGCAGCCGGTGATATAAGGGAGTGGGAGCTCTAAGGAGGAGAAAGAGAGGTGGAAACGGCTACCGTTAAGGTACAGTACACACAGATCATGTTTGATATAAATGAGATCAGTAGCAAAGAGAATTTGTGTGTAATGCCGTGCTGTTATGCCTATATCTCGCCCTTCCTTGGCTCAGAACGGAGTGCGCGCTGGTTCGTTCCAGCTCTGGAATACTGCAAAGAAAGACAAGAGAGCATTCTACAGGATATGGCATGATCCAGATGTGCAGGGAGACATTTGACCTGGTGCCATCTGGAGTCAGGTGGTGGATTGTGATGATGTCTTGTTGCTTAGTCTTCTACAGGAAGTTCGGAGGATGCAAACAAGCAGATAACCTAAGGAAACGAGTTGATCTGTGTTTGTGTTTATTTTGGGGGGTCTCAGGCAACAGCTGGTCAAGGTCATGGTTCGGTGTAAATATAATGTAATAATATGTGTAATATTTTTTTCTCCACTCCTAAAGCAGTCATCACAGTCTCTGGGGCAGTCGGCATACAACTGATGTGAAAAAATGTTTCTTCAGTTAATTTTCCAAATGAACCTGCTACTATGGAGCTCCATTTGTGAATGGATGTTTCTCTTTGTGAGGAGGGTTGATGGTCGGCTTGATTTGTTAGTCTAATGGCTCATTAATTCCCTGGTTAATGCTTCCATCCCTCTTGCAGGGCTTTTCACTTGTTATACATGAGAATTTGGATATATTGAACTGTGTGTTTCACCAGCCCGTATTTCTGTAGCTCTGCTGGCTGTGGTTGAGTTGGTACTGATGGGGCAGTAGGTTGACTGGCTGTGACTGAGTCTGCTAATGTAGTGTAGCATGCAAACCAGCTGGAGACCTGGCACACACACCACAGTGTGATTGGTAGTATTACTATTCTGATACAGCAGACTGTTTTCTGAGATTATGTAAGATCTCTCAGTTAAATCCACACAGACGACACAAAACAGACACAAGAGCTTTGAAACACACATAATGTGATTGGCAACAGTTGTTTTTCTGGCATTGATACTACAGACCAAAAGGCTGGCAGTTGATTTGAGAGTTTAAAATGCATTTAAGGCTTAATTGTATGTGTGTCTCATAATTAATGATGCTATATTTGATCCACCAACTGTTATCAATATTGGTGAACACATGAAAAGTCCAGTAATCCTTTTTTTCGTTTGCATTTTCTTTAAACTGAACAATATTTCTTGATGAAAAAAAAAATAAATGTTTGGGATTTTCTTAATTTCAAAAATAATATTTCAAATCTTTGAAATATGGTTAAATATTATGTGCTACATTTTGTAGGTTGCAGTATATAAGATTATAAAGAGAAAAGGGGAGATATGATGTCAAATGGACAAGAGCAGCTTTTCAGGTTGTATTTATGTGGGCTGAGAACTTAGCTTTTAAATCTATATCTTGCTTTTAAAGCATATAACTTTTATTAAGTTTGTTCTCAGGGTTCAGTAAGAGCCTCATTGGATGTTTGCCACCATGTGCTTGAATGTCTCTAGTAAATGTTGTAACATTTGAATGTTTTCATAATGGTAATACTTGAGAGTAGCTGTATATTTTAGTCATTTAATAACGGGTTCTGACATATCATATGCATTTTACTTAGCAGTAACAGATTTACTAATGATGCACTCTATAGTTTAAAATGTCCTACAGAGACTTTGGTACTGTGCAACTCAGTCATGTTATGTTATGTTGTAAATATAATTAATAATGTATCTGGCTAAACAGATTTAGTACTGATAACATATGATTTATGTACTTCAAAAGGGATTCAACAATCTCAGAGGGTGTAAAAGTAATATACAAGTAACAGTTTTCAGCAAGTTCAGCAAGTTTCAGCACATTTTTTCTGGTATTTCTTGAGAGTGACCATGAGTAGGATATTACTTATGTACATGGTCTGGTTTGGGATCAGATCCCTTCTAATGCAGTGCTTCAGTTTCATTACAGTGCCAGTGTTCCTGTCAGCACTGCACAATTGGCAAGCATCAGAAAAAAACAGCCAAACGCTCGATAATCTGGGCGTGATTCTTTGCAGCCTAAATTTTAGCAGTGTAATGCATAAGTAACATCACAAAGATTGATTTTGAACTAGAAGTCTTGTGGTTACACCCACAGCATAGACAGTTTCATTCATCTCTTTTTAAAGAAGTTTATCCACACTGCTTATTTAAATATGAATTTCAGATGTTTGTTGTTTACGTCTTAAACCTTGAAAGATATACTGTGTAATTTTAAAGTAATGACTGTTTTCGACCAGTTTTCCTGAACCGTCTGATAGTCCCTCACCATACTCACAGCACTGGCTGAGCCAAAGTTGCTTCAGACTGCTAAAATTAGCCCAAAAACATCCAAGTGCCACAGAGCCAGATTATTTTACTGGGAAATACAATACAGGTGTACAATTGGTTTACTTATAGTTTACTTATGTCTATAAGAGGAATCATTTAAAAATCGAATAAAAGTGACATACTTAACATAATATGCAGGATTGTGTCCACTGTGTTCATCCTGAAAGTTTGCTTGGTAAGTCACTGCCCTGTCTGCCCTCTTCCCCTGCAGCTGAAGCAGGAGGCCCAGCCGTTGCACCTGGCCTATCACGGAGCCCACCATGTGAGTCGCTGCCGCCTCCTAGAGGACAAGAACAGAGCTCTTAAACAAGAGCTAGCCACACTTAAACAGCAGAAACAGCAGCACCGATCCCTGGTAAGTCAGTTTGTGGTTTGATTTTGTTGCTTATTTGTTCAGTTTTTGGCAATAATCATACTTCTGGATTTCAGCATGTTGTTTGAAACTCCCTGGTGAGAAGCTTAATGAGTGACAGCAACAGTTCTTTTCTATAAGCTAAAATGCACAGGAAGTCCCTGAATCATCTACTGTGTTCCAAGTGGTGTGATGTTGGAGCTGTTGCCCTGGCAACAAGCCCACTAGTGAGGGAGGACAGGTTGGTAATGGAAAACTGACAGACCATAATAATGGCTTTTGTTATAAGCCTCAGTTGCTACAGATCAATTTCGTCCCACTGAATGGAAGTGACATGCACAAATTTAACTGAGCTTGAGCACCGCTGAGAAAGTTTGCTGTACTTTAGAACATACTTTAGAACTGTCCCGGAAAAGAAGCAATTGCAATGAAGCAAAAGGTTTTTTAAGGGGATGGGGAAAGGGATGAAAATCATGGTAGCAAACATCCAATGTGACTTTTACACTTACTCACTCTTGTATTGTTCCAAACCTGTATGACTATCCTTTGCAACTCTGAAGGAGACTTAATCTTCCCCTTCAGGGTGCTGTTCACCGTTGCAACTGGATTTTTCAGTCAGTGAATATCAAAATTATTTGTTCAAATCATTCAGACCAGTTTTGTGAACTTTTCATTGAAAAGATCGGACTCTTGATTTGTTCATGAACCGTGCATCACTATTTCTCAGAAGAACTCTCCAAGGAGAGGATGTCAAGAGTGGATGTCAAGATTTTCTGTTATAAACAGTTACACTGCCGTTCACACATTTGGGCTCAGTAATATTCAGCATATATATACAGTGTGTGTATATATACTGTACATAAGACAGTATTTTATTCAGCAAGGATGAATTAAATTGATCAAAAGTGGCAGTAAAGACATCTCTAATGGTACAAAAGATTTCTATATTAAATAAATAAATGCTATTCTTTTAAATTTCTGTTTATCAAAGAATCCTGAAAAAGAAGCATGGTTTCCACAAAAATATTAAGCAGCACAACTGTTTTCAACATTGATAATAATAAAAAATGCTTCTTGAGCAGCAAATCAGCATATTAGAATGATTTCTGAAGGATTGTGTGACACTGAAGACTGGATTAATGGCTGCTGAAAATTTAGCTTATTTCCCATCACAGGAATAAATTAAATTTTTAAATGTTTTCAAATAGAAATGTCTACTTTAATTAAATTTAATTACTTACATTTCAGACGTCTTCAAAAACATTACAAAATCTTACCGACTCCCTACTTTTGAACAGTAGAGTAAAGGTTTGTGCTTTTCACACAGAATTATATCTTATGGCTTTAGGAGACTAAAAAGCAGACAAATTGGATGATATTATGCTGTTATGTTACCCACACCAGAGTTAATTCACAGGTAGCAGTGCTCTAAATGCAACAGCACCACAGTAAGTAATTAATTAATACTATCAACTATTTACTTAATAAATTGTATTATAAGTGGGCAGGGGCAACTATGTCTGTAATATACTCGTAATATAACATTTTCAGATATTGTGGGTTTGTGTGTTGCTTTGAGAGTGTGTTCATTTAAACAAACTTTCTTATGAAACTTACAACACTCTCAGATTTTCTGTGCTTTTTTTTAAATTGAAAACCTGTCTGAAGTCCTTTAATTGAAAGAGAGAGAAGGGAACATCAAGTCTGCCAAGGCTGGCATTGGTTCAGATTCAAAATGATCACACCTCTTCATTTATTAGCTTCAGCTGTGATAGTGGTGAACCAGATGAATATGCTGTGACAGTTGTTGCAGTGTGAGTCCTATGGCTGGTTGCCAGGCGACCGTCTCTGACGGACAGTGCGGAGAGTGAACCTGTGGTGAGGAATGACCTTCTGTCTCTAGAGGAAGTGTCTCTCACCTGCTGCTGCTTAGGAACCGCCCACCTCATCTCTATGGCACTGCCTGTCCTGCGGAGAAAGGCTGTAGTATAATTAGTTTCACGAATAACAGTCATGACTATAGTAATAGTAATAACAGTCCGGAGAGATGCACATCTACTTAAGTAGCTGAGCCAAAGTATATTTCAGTAGATTAATATTTATTCCTCTGCTGCTTGTAAATTCCCATTTTTAGAGTCGTGCCTTTGTGACTCTGTATAGAAGGGAGTGGAAAAACAACAAACCACCTTCAGGGAAGATATTTGGTTTAGTTTCTGGAGCGAATATCCCTTCTCTCTCTTCTGCTGTTCCTCTAATTGAAGCATCCCATAGAGATACTTACAGTCAAGGGTTTAAAACTAATCAGGTCTCTACTACATTCATATTAACATCAAGTGAGTAAGGGTATTTTCTCTGTTCAGTTCAGATATTTGAGTTGAGTGTACATGGTTATTTTATGTAATGAAAACGAATTTCCAATATGTGTAACCACAATTAATTAGTCAACCAATTTTTTTGCAGCGTACTTGATGCGTCTTCCTTACGTCTGTCTACAGTTATCATTTGCAGAGAAGCTTCTATCAAGAACATACTGTAGAAGTAATTGTAAATAGTAACTTTCCCAACTCTCCCAGACCTCTCTGGAGAGTGACTCCTACACTGATAACCTCTCCATGCTTTGAAATACTTGCTTTTCTTTTTTTTTCAAGTCTTCAAGGATTGAAGGCTGCAGATGATTTCTAGACACCATTACTCTTATATCCATTTTTACCAATATGGACAGTGACCACTAAAGCTGTACGGTGACCACTGACTAGAGTTGCCAAGTCTGCTTATAATAGGCGACGTTGGGCATCTTTTTTGTTATGTTGCGTGAAAAAATCCCGGGTTGTGGTTTTTTGGGCTTATTTAAAAAAATATGGTTGCTTGTTAGGAAAATCTGACAAGCAACTTTGTTTCTTTACATTTATGCTCACCATATTCTCCAATGCATTGATTGGCACTCTGTCTGCTCACAGTAGCCAATTAATTCAATAATATAAGTTTTAACCTGTGCATATATTTAATTATTTAGTGTGCTTGTCTTCACTGTTTCTGTAATGTATATGCACTCTCTTTAACTGGAAATCTATGGAATCCCACAATTTTATCAGCGCTTTAAAAGCTTTGTGGTATGATGCTTCGTATTATTACCCTAACCTTATTTCGATGTGGTGTGTAGACATCCCTCTTAGAGCTAGCCGAAAGCCACATCCTGCATCATTTTATACCTAGTCATGTTTGCAAGCAGAGGTATCAGTCTGACTGCAGGGTTTCTCAGATGTGGGACTCCCTTAAAGCAATGCTGATTTAAGCAGACGGTGAAAGAAAGAGGTCGTTACCTCTGAAGTAGGGTAACTTGAGCCTCTGTACATGTGTCTTTGTGTTTGTGTGTTAGTGTGATGATTTCGAGTTTGCTTTGTTAAAGAGAGCATAAAACAGAAATGATCAATTAAAATAAAAATTCTGAGCTGTCAGATAGATTGAAATAATAAATCTTCTCTTACACTTTTCTATTCTTGAAAACAGTGTCAGATTCACCCACAATTTCATTTCATTTTCAAATTAATTGATTCGTTTTCTAATGTTTAATGAACTTTTAAATTTAAATGTCCTAAAAATATCATAATATTTACATTATTAATTTTTTATTTATGTTTTTAATCAAATAAATTATTATTAAAAATTCTACTAATATCCTCCTGTTTATATAAAATTATATTTATATTTTACTATAATATTTTATTTATATATTTTATAGAAAACTCATAGCAGTGTGATATGGCTGTATATCGGCATGGCTGTGATTCGGTAGTAGGCACGAGGCCGCAGGCAATCACAGATGTGCCGATATACAGCCATATCGCACTGCTACGAGTGTGATATTGCGTTTATGCAACAGTTGATTGGTTCATGTTGCATATGCAGCCAATAAGCTTATTGCTTATTACTTTTACTGCTACTGAATGCTACTGGATAGCATTCACTAGAGCAGTTTGCAGCATGCTTTCAGTTCCTCTGAAACCCTCCACCTTCCCCAGCTCCACCTGTATAGATATGCTACGGGTTATTATAAATGCTATTTGTGCAGTAGTAGTATGTCTTAAATACTCACTGCACCGTATCGGCGTAGGTATTCGCAGTAGAAAGTTCCTGTATTTGTTTTGCAGCAGCAGCAATAACAGCAATAGCCAACAGCAGCAGCGTAGCAGATCTATTCCGCCAAGACCAAATACATTAACACTGTCATATCCATAACCATGCTAAAATCTTCAGAGAGTTGTCTTGATAGAACTGTATTAAAAGCTCACTGTATTATGTAGAGTATTATGGGAGCGAGATGGACTGAGTGAGTGTGATTACCTGCATCTGATACAGCATTCATTCTTCAGCTCAATCTCATATTGACAATAAAACATTAGTTTGACTGTCCGCTAAGGAAAGCGATGTCTTTGTCGTAGGCTACTATCCTTTCATCTGTTGATTTCCGATGACAGCGCTGCTCAGCACATTTGTTGGCTGCGTCTTACAAGGTGTTGTTGAAAGTAGAAATAACTTGTTTACAACCCTGTTTCTGTATAAAATATAATATAAAAGTCTTTACTGCTGACTCACTCATAAAAAGTCACTTGTCGCCATCTTATGGTGGAACAATGTAACTAATCACCATCACAAACATGCACACCATTTCCCAATACTAAATACTATAATTAAATACTACTATTATTTGTATAATATATTATTTATTGAATAATAATATTTAATAAACAACAACAGCCATCATAAATGTTGCAAGGCAATTTATTCAAAAGTACAAAGGCAGCAACCTTAATGAGAATAATGAGACCAAAGACTATGAATGAATATCTCATCACCAAAGACACGAATATCTCATGTTTAACTACTATAGAGACATCAGAGTCAGCGGCAAATTCCAGAAGATCTGGCCGAGTTAAGGCTCCTCTCGGCGGGTTCATGAGCACCAAATGGCCGCTGACGCCGTGGAGCTCACATCTGCTTTAACG